CGTCAACCAACATGAAACACAACATGAGTCCTTGGCAAGTAAAGCAAAAGAATATTTATAAGCAAGTGGATCAATAATAAATATAAGTGACCATCAAGATAAAGTTTTGGTGTGGTGCAAGGTGTATGTAATGATCTATACATTAAACAATACATGCAGATCAATGCTACTAACTGTTAGACCGGTCCAGTGGACCGGTCCAGCCGGTCCGCACGGGACCGGTTGAGTCGCGAAACAGGCGACTATTTTCGCCTGGGCGGAAGCGCCGCACGCACGCATGATCTACGGGAGCTTTTTAGGAAGCTTTTTTGAGGGTTTTGAGAGGGAAATTTGAATGTAGGGACTGTTTAGGGATTTCCTTTTGATTTGTATGCATTAAATAGTTTGTTTTCCTAGGGTTTGGGCATCTGGAATTTGGCTGAAATTTGAGATCTCGTAGAACTAGGATTTCTTTGGGCTCTAGCGGCGTCTAGAGATTTGGGAGAGATCGATCCTCCTCTCGAATTGAGGATCAATTGTATCTTTGCTATTTCCTTGCAACTACTAGTAAAATACAAGTCTTTTCTCGGATTTTTGTGCAGTTTTTCCTGCTTTCATACTGTTTTTGGCTGTTTTTCTGCTGTGGACAGCAATTTTACATTGGATCTACTTGGTTTTGGTGAGAAACACTTGGAAATCCAAGTATTTCCTATCAAAAGATAGATAAATAAGATACTGCATGAAGAGTATGATCAAAGGCATGAGATAGGTAAACATGCAGTTTTCTAATGAAGTTGGGGCATTTATAACTAAGATGTTAATTGTCATTCTATATGCAAGTGATACTAATGGCAATATGATTAATATATATGATAATGTGTGCTTAAAATCTTTCAAAATAAGTTGAATTCTTCATATATTTTGGGCAAATGAAGGAACAAATGAATAGAGGTGAGTTTCTAATTTTAGGGATTTTGGTAAGTTAGAGCATTCATTCATCTCTATGTCAACTTTGCAATGCATTGCTCATGAATTTAATCAACCATGCTCTTTGTGAGACTTGCAACATAAACTTCAAAAAGGCAATGAGAAGTTTCACAATAATTAGATGCTTTTCAAATTGATTAAACTCATCTTCAAACACTTGCAAAATCTTGTGAAAGTTCATAAACTACAACACATGCATATTCCTATGCTTGTAAGTAATTTTTGTCATGGTTTATGCTTAAAAGAGAAATATGCATGTATTTTGAACAAGTTGCAAGTTTAAGAACCCTATCTTATGCTTCATTTAATTTAGGATATTATATAAATAAGCTCACACAATTTTGAAATGGGATGGAGTGTAGCTTATGAGTCTGTGAGAGTCCATAGGATATTCCAAATTAGCTTAACCAATATTTAAAATTAGATGAGCATATTTACATACTTTGCAAATGTTAGGTGAATGACAACCCTAACAAATGCAAGTTCAACACCTCACATCAATTTTGGCATGACATGTGTAGAGAAGGGAAAACACAACTTGCAATATTTGAAGGCATGTGCATTAACATTTGATCTAAGATCAAATGATTTTAATAAGTTTTATGGGTTTTTACCTCGCCGGGTCAAGTCACAGTGCTAATGGGTATCCTTTGGCCTTCAAAAGATGAGATAGAAGAAGTAAGAATGTGCTTGCTATCCAAGTGCTTCGGATGTCATTCCCGTTGTTTGGATCACTCTTGAATGCTGATTTTACTGTCACAAGCTCACCAGAGATGGTATGAGAGGGAGAAAAATGTTCCTACAGCAGATCGTCTGCCTCCAAATGTTCTCACAACTCTCCACTTCACTTTCCGCTTAGCCGAACATCAACGGTGTACGAGAAAGACTCCTCAAGGGGCTCAACACTCAGGCCACTTCCTCGATCTGTTCGGATCATATGCACGAGTCACCCTTATTCTTGCCAAGATTAGGTCGTACGTACAGGAGGTACCAGATCTCGTTCGTTTTTTATCCTCCCGTAGATTCGTCCCAGGAATGTGAAATGATCGCTCGATTCGGCCGGGTCTCGAGCACAGGAACTCCAGTTGCTCGACTGGTCTGGATCGATCGCATGTAGGGAAGCTTCCGTTCGACTTTTCTTCCCCGGTCGCATGCGAGACAAGTTGCTGTGCTCGGCTCCTGCTGAAGGGAAGGCACACAAGCAGAAATGACCACCCCTCTTCTCTGGGGCTCGGGCTCACACAAGGAGAAGAACCTTGCTCATATCTCCCCGCATGCTCTCTACATGCATGGACGAAGCAGGAACCTGTAGCCAAAAAAAATGGAATCCCCCTACAGAAGCTCTCGGTTTTGCCCTATATGCTTCAAAAACACAATTGTTGCTTTGTTCAATTTGATCTTCTGTCGCTCAAATCCCTACTACGGCAGAAAAAAAAAACTGTAGAAAAAGGGAAAAAGGACCTGTAGTAACTGTTGGTTTAATTATAGCCGTTAGATCTCATTTCCTGATTTGGGAAGTGATTTGAATTAATTTAAAAGTCAATTGGAGTTTTGTTGAACTCAGATTTAGTTAATTGGGCTGAAATTGAGTTTGAATCAAACCAGATTTGAATCGATTTGGGACAATTTGGGTTCAATTTGGTTCGATCGTTCGAGTCAATTTGATGAAATGGAACTTGGATCAGCACTGATTTGGATCAAATTTGATTTGATGGGGTTCGATTAGGTTGATTGTGCACAGTCGAGCCCGATTGGGCTCAAATCTTGCTTGATAATAGGAATATAAATTCGCTCGAGAGGATGCACGCGATAAGCGAGGTCAACAGTAGTTATAATATTTTGACTATTGAATCCATCATGAGTGAGAAGCTCAAAGCATGCATCTTTCTGATTGGGAGTTTGATTTTGATGGTAGTCTTCTTTTATTAATTTTTTGATTGAAGCCATCATAGAGGTGAATTTGACATTGCTTGATTGATTTACTGTCAGTAGCATATATTTTATTTGGATCATGAGTTGTCACGAATAAAAAATCTATATGAAAGTCATATATAAATTATATAATATATATGTTACGACACATGCCTATATAAAAATGCATGTGCACATGCATATATGTATGTATATTTTTTTGTGTAAATAAACATAACAGAGCTGCTATCAAGACAAGAACAGTTGAACAAGACTTTCTTTGCTTGACCCAATAATGGTATATATTTTAAATTCGTTATGGATTTATAATAATTATAACCATCATGGGAGAGTTGGCTCGTCAAAGTGCCTTTAGGCTCCCTTGGCTTGGAATACTTTTATTTTTTTCACAATATTGGGTAATCCTGACTTTATTACACAAATTAAGGCGAAGGTATATGTGCTTTTTTAATTGAAGTTTATTGTGACATTAACCTTATCGCTTAAAAGGATAATGCAATACTTTTGGTCAACTACACAACTCTCCTTGGCCTATTGGTTGAGAGCTTAGGCTTTCAACTAAGAGGTCCAGGGTTCGAGTCTATGTGTATGCGTTGTGTGTGTGAGTTTGCCTTAAATGGCCTAAATGTCCCAAAAGAAAATGTAAAAAAAAAAAAAAAAATTTTATTGTCATCGTGCTTCTACCATACATGTTTTATTTTTCCTTGATCTTCATGCTTTGGAGCTTGATTTTCCTTCAGACGCATGCATCATGTTTCTCTACCAAAATGTAAATTTTGTGAAATGCGTGTTAGATGCTGGAAAAGTATGATTTTGGCCTTTTTGCTATTGCTAAAGTTGATGCCAAAAGGACACTGGTATAATCTTTCTGAGCAGTCTGTTCATTAGCAGACAGATGATATTGCCTTGCTTGGGAGAAATTATTATGAGCGGAGACCAGACGGCGAGAACCGTTCAGATTTGCTACGGTTTTGCTGCCCTTTTCTTGGGCTTTTGCAAATAATTAGCAAAAGGGCAGCAAATATGCATTCATAATTGCACTTTTGCTGCCATTCTGCTGAGTATTTACAAAAGCGCAGCAAAATGATAACAAATATTCAATTAGTAGGATATTTGTTGCGCTTTAGTTGCCCTTTTACAAATACTCAGCAAAAGGGCAGCAAATCCAAACGATTCTCGTCATCCGGCCTCCGCACAAAATAATTTCTCCTTTCTTGAGGATGGTGTGTAAAATGTTTTCATTGATCAACTTAAAATTTCATGATTCAATATTGTTGTAAACCTTCCTAAAATGATTAAAGGTGTAACAGACAACAACAACATCCAATGTTTATCCCACTACATGGGATTGGGTACATGAATCATTTTTCTCTATTGTGTCCTATCAAGTGTCAAATTCTCATTTAAATCTAATAAAGAAAGGTCATTTCTAATATTTTCTAACTAAGTTTTTTAAGGTATGCCTCTGCCTTTCGTAACATAAGCCTAATCTAATACATCTACTCTTCTAACCGGGTTATTGGAAAGCCATTGTTTTTTGTGACCAAATCATTTACGACGACTCTCTCTAATCTTATCTTTCACTGGAGCTACTCCAGCCTTTTCACATTTATGCTGTCTCTATGAATAAAGCACTCATCCATCTAATCATCCTCATCTCTGCAACACGTAACTTAATTTCATGCTTCTCTTTTAATGGCCAACATTCTCCACCATAAAGCATTGAAAGGTCTCACCGCCATCTTATAGAATTTTTCCTTAAGTTTGAGGGGGACTGTTCTATCACACAACAAGCCTAATGCATTCATCAACTTCAACCATCCAACTTGAATTCTACTAATAATATATTCATCTATTTCACCATCACTCTGAAAAATAGACTCAAGATATTTGAAATGATGTGTAACAAGCATTGTGGCAAAATTGTTGTTCTTGAATAAAAGTATTAACTCTTTAATGAATGTAAGTTTCATTAATATTAAATTTTATGGATTTATAATTGAGAAAATGGACACATTTTTTGTATCTTTGATATTTATAATCAGAAAATTCATTTGAACCATACCTTGTACTTGTTATTTCTCTAACTCGATCTTTGGCAGGTCTTCTCCATAAAAGTGATACGCAATAAGCAGACTGGAAAGTCAGAAGGATATGGTTTTGTAGAGTTCTTTAGTCATTCAGCAGCGGAGAAAGCAATTCAGACCTTCACAGGCAATTTGATGCCTAACAGCGACCAACTTTTTCGGCTAAATTGGGCATCGTTTAGCATGGGTGATAGGCGTTGCGATATTGCATCTGATCACTCTATATTTGTAGGGGACTTAGCACCAGATGTTACTGATACTCTGTTACAAGAAACTTTTTCCAGCAAATATTCATCTGTAAAGGGTGCCAAGGTTGTTTTTGATGCAAATACTGGCCGCTCAAAAGGATATGGTTTTGTGAGATTTGGAAATGACAATGAAAAAGCACTTGCCATGACTGAGATGAATGGAGTTTATTGTTCTAGCAGGCCCATGCGTATTGGAGCTGCAACTCCAAGAAAATTATCTGGTATGTAATATTTATTTGAGGCATTATCTTCAAATGTCCAGAGTTATACTTGTCTTCAGTTTTTTCTCATGGGCTCGTTGCTGTTCCACTTATAGGATTTTTTATTTAATTTTCAATAGACGTGAACTTTCTGTCGTAACTAAATTAAAGTGTTTCTTTTGCCCAGGTTATTAACCGTGCTTATTTGATAAGACTAATCCCTATAAATAGTCTCACCTCATGTTCAAGTTTAAGAGCGATAAGACTACTCCCTCTAGGCAAATCAGGCCCCTAGGTAAAAGACTTGTAGTAGAGCCGAATCCCCTAGGAAGAAAGTGAGTCTACCCTTGACAATGTCACCTCATTCTGACTGAGTTTTTTTGGTGAGTTTTAAAAACTCTGAAACTATCAAAGACCATGTTTTGCCTTAAAACTTAAAAGAAGATAAAAGCTTTATAAAATCCACACTAAGTTGCTATACTAATGATGGACCAGCAGTTGAGCCGGTGGGCTCCACTATTGGGGGGGGTGGGGTGGGGTGGGGGGGGGGGGGGGGGGGGGGGGGGGGGGGGGGTGGGCATTAACGAAGAAGAGAGAGGAGCTCAAAGGGGAATAATTTTATTTTTAATTACTTACCATAGAATACTAAAATGAGAGGGAAGTTTATTTAGGAAAATGGGGATGATTTAGATTCATATTTGAGAGGGAATTATAAAAAATTCATTTAGGAAAAGATGACTAATTTGAATTTAGATTTGGTAAGGAATTATGAAGGCTTTATTTAGGGAAATAGTGCTGATTTGAATTCACATTTGGGAGGGAAATATGAAGGTTTATTTAAGGGTAATTAGGTTGTTTTATTTCCAGGATGTGATTGTGTTTTTGTTGTAGTCTTCTTTGGAGTTATTTCTAGCAGTGCCTAGGGTTTGTGGAGAGTCGATCTTTCTCTCAAATAGTAGATCAACTTGTATCTTAGTTCATTGTGTTGAAATAAGGATTTTTATCGTTGATTCTACTGTGTTTTCTCTTTGTTGGAGATCATATACCTATCAAATTGGTATCAGAGCATGATTTGAGACTTATGACAGCAAAGAAATTTGATTCCTTGGAAGAGCATTTGTAGGAGAAGTGGGCCAACTCAAAGCGACATTTGAGGAAAGAATTTCATCAAAGGAGGATAAGTTTTCCAACCTAGAAGAGACGATGAAGAAGGTGTTGGATCTTCACGTCCAATTGGCGTCATCAAAGGCAAGAACACTGATAGGAGGAAATGCAAATTTCTTCAATAAGAGGGATGATCATGATGTAGAAATCTTGGGAGAAGAGGAAAGGTGACAATCTTTTGAGCCACTTTCGAGGAGAGGAATTGGATGGGGGGAGGGGTGGGGGGTGGGAAGGGAGGTTATGGCATGTGGACTTATGGAGATGAAGAATTCAGGAGGGCTAAAGTTGAAGAAAGGGAGACATGAGAGGGGACATGGGGGAGATTATCATAATTGTTACATAGGGGGAGCCAAAGAAGGAAGAGGGAATTGGGGAGGAGGAGATATGAGGGTGATGAATCTAAAAATGCTAGTGTTTGAAGGTGAAGATGCACATGTGTGGATATATAGGGTGGAGAGATATTTTGCAGTGAACGAGTTGACGGATGAAAAGAGGCTCACGACAGTCTCTCTAGGTTTGGAAGGAAAAGCTCTAGCATGGTATCAATAAAGGGACATGAGTGCTTCGATCAGATCATGGGGAGAGTTCAAGGCTTGCTTATTAGAACGTTTTTGAACCAATCGAGAAGGAGACTTCTATGAGTAGTTCTTCGTTCTTGTGTAGGAAGGGAATTTGATATAGTATCGATAGAAGTTTGAGTTCCTTTTCAGTCATGTGGGGAGACTGTTGGAGATGCTAGAAGGAAACTTCATGAATGGGCTTGAGACCGGAGATCAGGGATGCAGTGAGGGTGTTGAGACTAAGAGGCTTAGAGGAGACCATAAAGCTAGCCCAATTGGTGGATGATAAGAGGTCTCTGGAAAAGGAAAGTTAAAGCAGTCAGCCAAGAGCTACGTACCAGACAACGACCATTTTTCTGGCACCAAAAGTGCCACCTGTACCGGCCTGATAAAACGATCTAGAGATCGAGGAGTGGGAGCAAGATCGAGAGGAAATTTTCAGTGTTTGATGGAGACAGAGTTGTAGGAGAAGCGAACGAAGGGGCTGTGTTTTAGGTGTGATGAGAAGTTTATCCCAGGGCATAGGTGTAAGGACTAAACCCTCCAGGTTCTTACTGTTTATGATGACAAAGAAGTTGAAAGGGAGGGTAAAGGGGAAGCGATGGTGGTGGAAGAGGAGCATCTTCAGCTGGACGTATTTGAGGTTTCACTGAACTTAGTGGTGGGGTTAACTCCAAACCATACTATGAAGGTAAGGGGGAATATAGAGGGAAAGGCCGTGGTAGGTCTGATAGATAGTGGGGCAACCCAAAATTTCATTTCCAGTAAGATGGTGGATCGGTTGGGGCTAAAGCTAGTAAACATGAGTTGTTATGGGTTCATGATGGGGACATGGAAGATGGAAGGGAGTAGGGGCACTGTAGGGGCCTACTCCTAATGCTACAAGGGATACAGATAAGGGAGGATTTGTTTTTTTGTTGGAGTTAGGAAGCACTAATATGATATTAAATATGAAATGACTGCAAACTTTGGGGGAAACAATGATAAATTGGAGAGCTCTAAAAATGAAAATCCAAGTGGAAGGGAGGAAGATGATCATTAAGGGGGATTCTTGTTTATCCAAGACCATTGTATCTCTCAAGAACATGGTGAAAGCTATACAAGGCACGAAAGGGGGATACTTAGTGGAGCTTCAAAGCATGGAAGCAATTCAGGAGGACAAGGTAGAGGAGGTACCATTGCTAGTCCAGTTACTACCACACTAGTTCAGCGATACATTTTAGGCCCATCACGGATTATCCCCTTGTAGGGAGCAAAAGCATGCCATTACCATGAGGGAGGGAGCTATATCCATCAGTGTTAAACCTTATAGATACTCCTAGATTTAGAAGGATAAGATCGAGAAGCTGATTTGAGAGATATTGGAAGCAGGAATCATCCAACCGAATGTGAGTCGTTCTCGAGCCCAAACTGTTGGTGAAGCTAGAGATTTTGAGTGGACTATTGGGTCTTGAATAAGGAAATCATTCCAGATCAGTTTCCTATTCCTGTAATAGATGAGTTGTTAGATGAGTTGTGTGGAGCGGTGATCTTTTCCAGGTTAATTTGAAGTCAGGTTACCATCGGATCAGGATGAGAGCAGAAGATGTGCACAAAATTGCTTTCCGAACACATGAGGGATACTACAAGTTTTTGGTATGCTTTTTGGCCTTACCAATGCTCCATGCACCTTACAGTCTCTCATGAACCAAATTTTTTAGCCGTACATCCGAAGGTTTTTATTGGTATTTTTGGACGATATTTTGATTTATAAGAAGACCTAGGAGGAGCATTTGGATCATCTAAAGGTTGTTTTGGTAACATTGAAGAAACACCAACTATTCGCCAACTAGAAAAATGCTCCTTTGCACAGTCCAGAGTGGACTTGAGACATGCCATATCTCAGGAAGGGGTGACAACTGATCAAAGCAAGATTGAGCCACACTAAGGTGGCCTATATCCAAAACGCTAAAAGAACTCTTGGGTTTTTTAGACCTCTCATGGTATTACAGGAAGTTTGTAAAGGGGTATAGCTTGATAGCCGGCCCACTGATAGAACAGTTGAAGAAGGATAGCTTTCAATGGGGGGAAATAGCGACCAGAGCCTTCGAGCAGTTGTAAAAGGCCATGACTACAATTTTTGTACTAGCATTACTAGATTTAAGTCAGGCGTTCACAATGTTTAAAATTGCATAATCGGGTATTGAAGCATTTTTCATTCGTGAGGCGAGGCGTAAGCCTCAAAATCAAAAGATTGCGTAAACATAAAATGATAAATTTTTTATATACTAATGAATAAAAAATATAAAACATAAAAAAGCACAAGATATGAAGTGAAATCAAAATATCCCAATAATAAAACAATATGAAATATAGTTCAGCTCAAATTCTATCTTTTTCAAATCACAGTATTCTTTTCGTTAACATATAATTCCAAAAATAAATAGCAATGACATATCACATAAGAATTCATAAGTCATCAGCACTGTCATCACTAAGGGGGTCTTCATTTGAATCATCATTATTATGAACTGTTTTCTCCCCTTCCTCCTATCCTATAGAGTCCATGTCTCCCAAGCAGCTCCTTCTTCCTCAATATCAATTATCTTCCTCTTTCCCTAAATATTTTTGAACAATAATGCTTCACTTATTCTAGATTAAGAAAACTTATACAAAACATGCACTCATGAAGAAGCAGACTAACACTAACAACTATTACTAAGGATGATGAATAAAATAATATGCCGGGTAGCCGGGGCCCCCGGAACAAATTTTTATTGTAAGAGAAATTTTGAAGTTCTGTTTATTTTTAAAGTTTGTAAGTCGTTTGGCTGTCCCCGGAATAATTTTTTATTGTAAGAGTAATTTTGCAATTTTGCTTATTTTTAAAGTTTGTAAGTCGTTTGTATGGAAAGATACTGAATGGTATCGAACATGTATCGAGCGGTACCGAGCATGCACCAAGAGGTACCGAGCATGCACCTAGTGGTACCGAGCATGTATCTAGTAGTACCAATCATTGTTGTGCTGAGTGGTACCGAGCTATACCGAGCATGTACTGCTCGGTACTGACCGAAGACGCACTGGGGTGGTGGGCCGAACCAAATAGATATATATTAGGTTTTATTTTTTAACTTTAAGAGGCGAACGCCTCCAAAACATGAGGCAAGGCACACCTCAGTGAACTTGAGGCATACGCCTCAATGCTAGCTCTCATTGCGTAGGCTTTGATGCTTAAAAGTTCAAAATTATGTTGATGTGCACCTCTTATTGCGCAATTTTAAATCATGGGCGTTCATAGTGGAGACGGATGTCTCA